TTGGTATTGGTATTGGTATTGGTATTGGTATTGGTATTGGTATTGGTATTGGTATTAGTATTTGTATTAGTATTAGTATTAGTATTAATATTAGTATTAGTATTAATATTAGTATTAGTATTAGTATTCGCATTAGTATTGATATTCGTATTAGTATTAGTATTAGTGTTAATATTAGTATTAGTATTAGTATTAGTATTAGTATTAGTATTAGTATTAGTATTAGTATTAGTATTAGTATAAGTATTAATATTAGTGTTAGTATTAGTATTAGTGTTATAGCAATAGTATTAGGATTAATATTAGTATTAGTATTAGTATTAATATTAGTATTAGTATTAGTATTGGTATTGGTATCAGTATTGGTATTGGTATTAGTATTATTATTAGTATTAGTATTAGTATTAGTATGTGTATCGATATTGATTAGTATCAGTATTAGTATTGATATTAATTAGTATAAGTATTAGTATCAATATTAATATCAATATTGGTATCAGTATTGGTATCCATATTGGTATCGGTATTGATATCAGCATTGGTATCAATAAGGATGTATACATCTTATCTCTTTTGCAATATTTATAAGTTGTATTGTTGTTTGAGCAATTTGCATCACTAATTAAACGTCATTAGTTATAAACTTACAGGTTATTTGAATATCTATTTTGTTACTTCTCTCCTACCATGTTTGTTGTTAATTTAGTTATTTTGCAAAATATTGACATTGTGTAGTAGGTTGCATTCCTCGAAATAGAGTTATACCATATATTTTAAATGATTTCACTTAATCTTCATATCGTGTTTGCGCGCTTCACGTTTTCTTCTTTGGAATATTTAATTTAATCTCATATGTTAAAATTCTGAAATAAGAGATAAAGTTTATGGTTTTTTTTTTTTATTTTCTTCCATTTTGTTTACTTGAATTGCTATTGTTATAAATAGATAGTCGTTTACATATTATTATTTTTCTCATTTTAAAACTGACATCCGTGCAACGCCACGGGTGAAGAACTAGTTCATTAATCAACGTATGGATAGTGAAATCATATCCGAATAAGTTTCTGCTGACCAATAGAAAGGATTAGTCAGCACTGATAATAACAAGCTAAGATCAACTAATTTCGTACTCATATATGACTTCATTATGTTTTATTGACAAATTACTTGACCTTATCCTCCTATTATAACTTGACTTTATCCTCCTATTATAAGTTTATAACCCGTCACTAGGGGTGTATACAAGTCGAGCCCGAGCTGATTTTGACTATTTTGGGGAGCTCGAGTTCGCATCCATTTTGACGAGCTCGAGCTCTTCGAGTATTGTTTTTCTGAGCTCGAGCGAACCGAGCTTGTCGAGCTCGACTCGAGCCAGAGCCATTTTGTGTATTTTTTTTAAATTAATATTATTAAATTATTACTATAAATTATAATAAAAAAAAGTCGAATAAAAAAATGACATGTAATTTACTTTTTTTTATAATTATTTATATGAATTTATTATTTATTTTATATTAGTTATATTTAATATATAAATAAATTAAAATGAAAAAAAAAACTCGTGAATCAACTAGCGAACTAAGGAACAACTAATGCTTGGGCTCGACTCATCAGAATGCTCAAGCTCGAAAAATTCGATTTCGAGTTCGAGCTTTTGTCGAGCCGACTTGGCTCGTTTGTACCCCTACTTATCACACATTGTTTTATGGTTATATATAGCACTTAACTCCCCGCGGTTTGGACGTTGTGCATATGACCCTCTTGTATTTTCAATATAAGCACATGACACTTCTATAATTTGTATTTTGTGCACATACCTCCTTGTACTTTTAGTAAAAGCACATAACCCCTATGATATTCCACTTGTTATATAATCTTGTTCATCATTCAAAAGAAATTTTCTTTTAAAGTAAAAGGAGGTTTTTATGTTTATATTAAAATATAAGGGGGTCATTTGCTATATTAAAAGTACAATGGGCGTTATATACCTATTGTTTTATGCATTGTTAAATATATGGTAAATTCCACTTTCCCCCCCTTGTACTTGACTCAATATCAGTTTACCCTCTACTACTCTCGATTGCATCGATTTGCCCTCATGTACTTGAAAAATTGTCTCAATGTGGCCCTCGTCGTTAGTGTTCAGACCTTTGACCTTTGACCTTAACACCGTTTGATCTAAGTCTCAAACTTACAAAAAAAAAACACATCTCCTAGTTAAAATAATTATTAAAAAAATTAAAAAATATAAATTTATTGTGGTTGGCGTCGTGGACTATGTTTTCTCGTTGTCTTGAATTTTATTTAATTATCTATTTATTTATTTTTTTGTTTTTTTAATAATTATTTAAACTAGGAGAGGTGGCGTTTTTGTAATTTCAGAGCTTAGATTAAACGGTGTTATGGTCAAATGTCTGACAACTAGCAGCGAGGGCCACATTGAGATAATTTTTCAAGTACATAGGGGCAAATCGATCGATGCAATCGAGAATAGAAGGGAGTAAAATCATATCGAACCAAAGTACAAAGGGGAAAAGTGAAATTTACCCTAAAATATATATATGAATATTGGGAAAAATTACCAAAACCCCCATGAGGTAAGTCTGAATAACGGAAATTCCCCCAACGTTCTGGTAATATTACGAAAACCCCCCTGAGGTATGCAGACGTCTTACAAATTGCTCTAACGGTGTTAAACTCGATAGAATCTTTTTGATTCTCCTGAATATTCCTCCGATAATACCAATTTTGCCCTTGTACACGAAATTACCCTTAGGGGGGTAATTGTAAGCAATTTATTTAATGAGGGGTCATAAATATATACTCTTCATGAAATATATAAGTGTCTGCAAAATACTTATTTTTCTTAAATTAAACCCAAATATAATCAATCATTATGAATGTACAATGTATTTTTATTGGATTAAAAAAATCAATGGATGAGATTTCAAAATTTAATTATTTTTTATATATAAAATTAAATATTTTACAATTCGAGAAATACAACCATGCATCATTCAAGCTAAAAGCATAAATCCGTATGAATACTCCTCTGGATAAATAAAATCAATTAAAATATATAAATAAAAAAAATAAAAAAATTATAATATCAAATTATCAATACAAATTACAAAGTAATAAATAATACTTTCGTAATTAATAGAAGGATATAAAGCTCGTATGGTACTGCTGACCATAATAGTGCACGAACACGAACATCAGCAATTTCACACAAAAATCATAACATGAAAGAATACATAAAGCTCGTATTTTTCCCAAATAATTAGAAAAAAAAGCACCACATCCGTTGAAGATATTCACTAATGCAGATTAGCCACATATTAACTATGCAATGAAGCACGTAACTCATTGCACCTCTAGGAAAAAAACACTAGACGAAACACCCGTAAGAGAGAGAAAGAAAGAAAAAAGCTTATGATTTCACTAATTCAAACAACTCCGAAGAATACACAATATCACTACATCATAAGAAGAAGAAGACCCGAAAGAACGAGAACGTGGGGGGGATTTTTGTTATTTAGGCTTACCTCAGGGGGGTTTTGGTAATTTGCCCTTTTTCTTTTATTTTTTAACATATTTAACAGAAGGATACAATAGACATTTCACGTTTTCGGTTAAACAAATTCGGTCAACCGTTAGTCAAGGGGGGTTTTCGTAATTACGAGAACGTGGGGGGGATTTTTGTTATTTAGGCTTACCTCAGGGGGGTTTTGGTAATTTGCCCTATGAATATTTTGGATAAACTAGAAAACAATAAAACTAGGTATTGGAAATGGAGAAGAGAAGGAGTCTCAAGACAGGAAAATGTCAATGAATTAACTGCTACGAGGGTAAAATGACCATTTCCACTGCCAAATTAATTTAACCAATATTGATATGCATATTAATTGATTTCGTTAGCTGTCAAATATGTGTCCTAAAAAACTACCATGGATGGTTGCACACTTTTTATAAACTCTTCTTAATACGAAATATAATTAATTAAAATTGTAACAACTACTTGTCTACTTGACATTGTATTCCCTATAAATAGGTACACCATTTTAATCCCAATTAATATTCTCATAACCTCACAACACCAAAATATATATAACCAGTATTCAAAGTAGTCATCAGAATTATGAAGATGACTCTTGTCTCCCTCGCAACAATATTCGTTGTTGCGTCTTTCGCTACGTTCGCATATGCATCAGATCCCAGCCCTCTCCAAGATTTTTGCGTTGCTGTTAACGACACCGAGGCTTTTGGTAATTAACTTCTAAAATCCATTTAACTTCTCCCCTAATTACATTAATAATCATCAAAATATTACAACTTTTGACATCTTTGTTTTCTGCATGCATGTACGTAGTTTTCGTGAATGGGAAGATCTGTAAGAACCCTAATATGGTTGTGGCCGAAGATTTCCTTTTCCGGGGCTTAAATAAGCCTGGAAACACCTCAAATCCACTTGGATCGAGAGTCACTCCTGTCACTGTCAACCAGTTACCCGGGCTCAACACTTTGGGCATTTCTGCTGTGCGTATAGACTATGCACCAAACGGTTTGAACCCACCGCATACTCACCCACGTGCCACTGAGATTCTTATTTTGTTAAAAGGCACTCTTTATGTTGGATTCGTCACTTCGAATCCAGCTGACCCTGCCTTGAAAAACAAACTCTTCACAAAGTATTTGCACCCTGGGGACGTTTTTGTCTTTCCACAGGGTTTGATTCATTTCCAGTTTAATGTTGGAAAGACCAATGCTGTAGCATTTGCTGGTCTGAGCAGCCAAAATCCAGGTGTCATTACTATTGCTAATGCAGTGTTTGGTTCGGATCCTCCAATTGACCCAGCTGTCCTGACAAAGGCGTTCCAGGTTGAGAAGGATGTGATTGACTATCTTCAAGCGCAATTCTGGTGGAACATCGATTAAATACAAATCTGATGATCATAAGAAAGTTGTTGCTAATATATAAATTAAATGACATATCGTCTCAAATAAAGCAATAGTACTGGTTATTTCCTGTGTACTTCATTTGTCTGAATAAATAATTTGATTCGTACTTTTAGTTATATATATGTTTATGATTGTTTCATCTTTATTCGACCACTTGCTCCGAGCCACTTGCAAGTGCTCGAATAAAGATGAAACAATCATAAACATATATCACTTGCTCATAATGATACTTCTCATCCAAAATTTCTATAGCCTCATCATCAAATCTATTTAAAGGGATGCTAATATTTTGAGCATCACAAAAATCAAAATGGAGTTGCCCATTCTAAAAATTATCTCGCTCTTAGTTCTCAGCATCACAACCATTACAAAACCGACAAATGTTGATGATAAGCTATTTTCAAATATTTGTTCCAAGACAACAGTCCCTTATAAATGTACATGTTAATTGAAAATGATTCATAAAGATGGAGCATCTTTCCTTGAGGGTGTAGGAGTAGCCTTTCTCGGCATTGCAATAAACAGAGAAAATGAATCGATGGATTTGAATAATCGCTTTGTTATTTGCAATATGAAGGAGAAATATGAAAAATGTGGCGAAAAAAATACAGTGGGCCATGGAAAGCTAAGTGAAGCAAAAGCAAAAGTTGAAAAGTTTGCACCGGCGAGAGACAATTTAGAAGAAGTTTCGAAAGTTCCTATATATGTGAGAATTTAACTAGAGCAAATTCACTTAATGTTGTTGAGCAAATGAAGAGTACTTAGATTTTATTTTCGACGTTGTTTTGGCTGTTGTGATATAATTGGAACAAGGCAGTAGAAAACCTACTATGGTTTTGCTTACATAAAAAGTAGAAAAGAATAATGTAAGTGGTCTCAAATAAATAAATCGAATAAGATGTAAGCACTAATTTGTTGTTGAATTTACCGGGAATACAAAAGTTAATGCGAAGTTGGTTAGTGTTGATTTGTCCAAGCTCTTAATTAATTAATTGCTTATGATCAAGAACTTCTTTTGAAAATTCCAAGCCTCTAAACTTGCCTTCAAAGCAAAAAGTATTTGCTACGTAATTTTACGGGAAAATTACAGTTTATATCCCTAAACTTTACCATTAAAATAATTGATGTCCTCAATATTTCAATCCACGAAATATATCCTTTAACTTGCCATTTTGATCACTTTATGATCTGCCATTAACGTCGGCAGCTAACTTCGACGGAAATAGCACGTGTGACTGACGTGACGTCTATATGGCCGTTAAAATATTTGGGACCTTAAGCTACGAATGCTTGCCATTTTCCTACTTGTGCATATGAACATAAAATATTTGAGGCCTATTTTTATATTTACATTTGGCTTACCCCTCACAATTTGATAAATTCATTTTACACTTATTCTCTTTTGTTCTCCCAAATACTCATACATAACAAAAGATTTTGTTTCTGCGAATTTGACCAACACGAAAAGCTTATAATATTTTAAAGGGTAAATAGCATTAAACCACCTAAACTTTTTCAGTTTTTGTGGATCACCACCTGAACAATTTTTTTTGCATGAGTTCACCTGTACTTAATAAATTGTGTCACTTTGCCATTTTTTTGCCCGTTTTCAGGTCAAAATGACCGGTTCTCAACACATGTGCGTTGCACATGACAAATCTAAGGCTATTGACGTCTTTTCCATTTCTAAAATGGAATAAATGTTTTTTTTAGGATAAATGGAATAAATGTTAAATAAAATAAATAAATAAATAAAAAGGCCTTCATCTTCTTCCCAATCCCAGGAACTACCCATCTCACGCACACCACCCCACTCTACTCACCCAATTCACAATTTTCAGCCGTCCGCCGCTCACCACCAGGAACCAGCTCCGCCTTTTTGCACAACCACCAAGCTCACCACCATCACCACATCTTCTTCACATCCGCCGCCCACAACCCAGCTCCGCCCTCTTGCACAACCACCATACTCACCACCACCACCACATCTTCAGATCCGCCGCCCACAACCCCAAACGAGATTTGTCGACAATGAACACAATACATTATAAAGTTGTATTTTGAACACATTTAATCCCAACCCATTTTAATTGAATGAAATTGGTCCTAAAATTACGTCAAAAATGCCCATTTAATTTTCCCTTTCCCCAATTCAGGTTATATGAACACTATTTTCTCTCGATTTCTTCCTCCGAATCAACTAGATCATCTTCCAACGAATGGAGGATTAGATGATCTTCTCACAATTGAGGCCGCGGCGGAAGTGTGCGGCGCTTGGCGGTGAGATCGGGTGTGAAATCCTCTGCTTTTGCAACAAACACACTACCACTCCGAATAATAAAACCACCACAAGTTGCACAAAAATTCGTCCTCCCATTTTCACCAAGATCATCCCACTTCAATTCAAATGCAAAATAAAATTAATTTTTTTATTAAAATCAACAGATCTGAAGCGGGATTCAATCAAAGAATCAAATATTCGATGAAAAAAAGTGAAATACAAACATATCAAGTTAATTAATACCGATTAAATTAGTGAAAAACGGGAAAGACTGTGTTCTGTGTGTGTATGTGTGTGTATGTGTGTGTGAGAGAATCTTTCTTCAAAACATGTGTTCTGCAACTGCAAGTGGGTTTTATCCCCTTGCATATGTATGTATAATGTATGTATATATAAAATTAATTAATTAAATAAAATAAAACTGACATGTTCTTTTTTCTTTTAATTATTCTATTTTATATTTATTCCATTTTCAAAAAAAAATAAAAATTATTCCATTTTAAAAATGGAAAAGACATCAATACCCTTGAATTTGTCATGTGCAACGCACATGGGTTGAGAACCGGTCATTTTTTACCTGAAAACGGGCAAAAAATGGCAAAGTGGCACAATTTATTAAGTACAGGTGAACTCGTGCAAAAAAAAAATGTTCAGGTGGTGATCCGCAAAAACTGAAAAAAGTTTAGGTGGTTTAATGCTATTTACCCTATTTAAAAACAATTCAATATTGATAAATTAGTATACATTTTTTCCATCAATGGCTCATTTCAATATCTAGATTGCAATGTTGCATGTTAACGTCAGGGATCAAGATTGGCTATGGCTGAAGACATATATGTATAACAGAAAAGAGAACAGAAAATCTTTGTAATGTTGACCAATTCATCGATACTGACAGTTACAATACAAAAATAAATCTTCTTTTGTCATATATATTTTAACCGACTTCAACGAGCGGTCGCATATTTCCTATATGTCGAAAAATTCTAGCTACCCCATAGTTCGTTTAAAAATATTAAAACAATATATCAAACTTGACTATATTCGATCTTTGGTTTTACGTACGTCGAGAACATATAAAGGTATTTGGTAAATGGTAGGTTTTAACCAAAAAATAAGACCCGGCATTGAATTGGAGTTACAATTGACATGTAATTGAATATGTCAAATGATTAACATTAATTACACGCAAGAAGAAAATGACCTTTTCCATGGAAAAAAATATTCATAAAGTAGCTTTAGTTGTTAAACCCCCTTTAAGCATATACTTGGCAAGGTTGGAGACTTTTCAACTCTTAGTAAAATAATAGTAATTGCAAAAGAAAGGAGATGACTATTTCACATCAAATCTCTCTATAAATAGGCACAATTTCTATCCAAACTCATAGACATAACACAAAAATATATACATATATATAAGCAATATACTTAGATCATTGAATATCATCCAATATTATTAGCTAAAATGAAGATGGGTCTTGTCTCCCTCACAACATTATTTGTTATTGCTTGTTTGGCTTCATTTGCATATGCATCAGATCCTAGCCCTCTTCAAGATTTTTGTGTTGCCGTTAAAGAAGCCGATGCAGCTGGTAAATAATTTCGACATCTAACTAATTATATTTGTAATTATTTACCTTATATTAAATAATCATCAAATGATAACTTTGGCATCTTTTTTGCATGCATATATAGTTTTCGTGAATGGGAAGATCTGCAAGGACCCTAACATGGTTGTGGCCGAAGATTTCTTTTTGTCGGGTTTAAACAAGCCTGGAAATACATTAAATCCAGTTGGATCACGAGTCACTCCTGCTAATGTTAACCAAATTCCAGGGCTCAACACGTTGGGCATTTCTGCTGTTCGTATAGACTACGCACCAAACGGTTTGAACCCACCCCACACCCACCCACGTGCCACCGAGATTCTAGTTGTGTCAGAAGGTACTCTTTATGTTGGCTTTGTCACTTCAAATCCAGCTAACCCCGCCATTAAGAACAAGCTCTTCACAAAGTATTTGTACCCTGGGGACGTTTTCGTCTTTCCAGAGGGTTTGATACATTTCCAATTCAACGTGGGAAAGACCAACGCTGTCGCTTTTGCTGCTTTAAGCAGCCAAAATCCAGGCGTCATTACTATTGCAAACGCAGTGTTTGGTTCGGATCCACCAATTAATCCAGCAGTTCTAACAAAGGGATTCCAAGTTGAGAAGAATGTGATTGACTATCTTCAGGCGCAGTTCTGGTGGAACATCGATTAAGTATGACACCCTCGTCATAAGAATCTTGTTACTAATGAATGACATATTGTCCATAATAAAGCTATTGTACTGTTCTTTGTGTATTTCATTCGTCTGAATAAATAATATGACTAGTATGGTTTGTAAACTATACAAAGCACATCTATCTTGTCGTTGTTTTAATGAAATTATTTTTCCGGTAAAAAAAAAAAAGGAGCTAATGTGGAACCAATAATTCAAAGGATAAAATGCACTTTGTCCCCTAAAAATTTCTCATTTTCACACTTTTCCCCTTACTAATTAAATTATAAAATGAGACTCTCCCCATTCCAAATTTTATTCTAGTTGCATTTTGCCATAATTGACACTTTTCGGCATATTTTTTACTGGTATTGTCATTTCTCTGTTCACTTAAAGTGCATCAGTTAAAGAGCATTTTCGTCCTTTCACCATTTCCACCCAAATCCTAATGTAATATAGTTGGACCAAAAACACAGACTTATTTCAAAAAAAAAAGGAGTTTTTCTAAAAAAATTGCGCATATTATATTGTGATTCCAAATTGTAAGAATCCTCAATCTCTTCTTCCGTTACCATCTATTACGGTGATTCTATCCCATAGGTTCAAAAAGTATGAGTTCGAAACAGAAAGAAGGAAAGAACATAAAAAAATATAGGTAATGTATGAAACACAAAAAAATGAAATTAAAAATTCGATAAATCGTAGCTCAAACAATTGAAATAATAAACACAAAGAATGAAATGCACAGAAATCATACATGTGTTCAAAAGCTTTTGCCTTAGCGAGGACAAAAGAAGAACCCTAATTTTGGAGAGAAAAATGCAACCCTAATTTCGGAAATCCTCAATTGTGCATTCACGGGAAAATTACAGTTTATGTCCCTAAACTTTACCACTCTATCGATTTATGTCCTCAAACATTTTCAGCCACGAAATATGTCCTCAAACTTACCACTTTTTAACAATTTATGTTCTGCCGTCAACTGCGTCAGTTAACTTGGACGGAAATATCACGTGTGGCGCACGTGATGTCGATCTGGCCGTTAAATGCTGATATGGCTGACACACTGAGATGATATGGCCGAAAAATTGACATGGAGTGACTTGTGGTTCTCTCTTCCTTGATTTCAATTTTAAAATTCCCAATTTATCATTAAAACCCCCAATTTCGCATTCCCCCGATTTCATTGAACCGAATGTAGAAACCCTAACCCTCAAATTCTAGTCATATTCTGCACTACAACACACAATTTGATCGACATCGAAACTTCTACCTCCCAAATCCCCATAATGAAGTTCAAAGATATCAACTTCGAAGAAACTTACCAAAATTGATAATTCTTGTTCCATTGTGAAGTTCTAGCGCCACAAATGTTTGAAATTTGCGAAATTACAGTTGGGCAATCTTGTTATTGCGGAATTTCACCTCAATCCAGTGCTTCGTACGAGGAATTTAGAGGGTAGGGTTTTTGCATCCGGTTCAATGAAATAGGGGATGAGAAATTGGGGGTTTTAATGATAAATTGAGAATTTTAAAATTGAAATCAAGGGAGAGAATCACGTGTCACTTCATGTCATCTTTTCGGCCACATCATCCCAGTGTGTCAGCCATATCAGCATTTAACGGCCAAATCGACATCACGTGCGCCACACGTGATATTTCCGTCCAAGTTAACTGTTGAAGTTGACGGCAGAACATAAATTGTTAACAAGTGGTAAGTTTGAGGATATATTTCGTGGATGAAAAAGTTTGAGGACATAAATCGTTTTAGTGGTAAAGTTTAGGGACATAAACTGTAATTTTCCCTGTATTCGCGGTTTACCCAGAATCAAAAGATTTGGGATTTGCGCGCATAATTACGTATATAAATCTAAAATGACAAAAGTACCCTTCAAGTGAACGGAGAAATGACAATACTGATGAAATACGTCGGAAAGTGTCAGTTAGGGAAAAGTGCAATTAGAATAAAATATGGAAGCGGGAAAGTACAAAAATTGAAAATTTCTAGGGGTCGAAGTGCATTTTGTCCTAATTTAAGAACCTAAAATATAGGTAATATATATATATATTTTTTTTGCAATAAAGAACCTAAAATTTATTAAAATATACCATTATATTTTTTATGAAGGAATAAACATAAATAATGTTTAATTAATATTTTTTAGTTTTTATTTGGTAAAAATAGTAATTAAATTCATATTTATTTAAATACTTCATTCTTACAAATCTATACTTAGTGATGACAATGAAATCGAACCAACAATCAAATTCAACAAAAATATAAGAAAAAAACTTTATATTAAAACTTGTTGTAAAGTTAAATGATATGCACATTAGTAATTAGTATAAAAAACCAAAAACACATTTACGAATTAACAAAAAAAATGAGAAAATATATTCAAAGTTCTATTAAATTAAATGTACTAAAAAAGCATTCTAGAGCCTCCAAACATAAAACACGTTATCAAACTAACAAATACGCATAACGAGTAATAAAATATAGTTAATTACTATTTTTATCATTGAAAACTATGAAATATTCATTAAAAAAATAGTTACTACAAAAATGTTTATTTCATGGTATATTTTATTTCCTTCCAAATCGTCCAACTCATCAGCCACATCATCTAGTTTATTTTTTAATCTATTTATTTTTATAAATTAAATGTCAACTCACTCAACTAACCATTGCCTAACCTATTATAGCAGGTCATAGGACTAAAATTCTCAACTTTTGAAACTTACAGGACTAAAATTCTGATTTTGAAATATGATGGACTAAAACTCACAACTAGCAAACTTACAAGACTAAAAAACTCATTTTACATTTTTGATAATTTAATTTGAACACCAGAAAATACCAATGTTTCTTTGAACATATTACTTATATTATTTTATCAATATAAATTGGGGTTTTCTTCATTAGTGAATGGTTATGTTAAAAAACAATTACTCGACGAATGAACAGTTCAAATACTTGCATGAAAATTGAAGCCCTGCTTCACTTTCATCAAACACGTTTACCGTCAAAAGAACTCGGTGGCAGATCGTTGGGCTGATCAGGCATATTCGCATCACGAAAGAAAGGAGTTTTTTCAAGCATCGACCTTAGAGATTGAAATGGAAGCAGCTCATCTATTAGCTAAGAGTATTTGGGGTCTTTTTGTCGAATTTTTTAATAGTTCAGAGTTCAATTTAGGTATTTTAGTAATTGCACTTTGAACCCACTTTAGGGGTTTTTTTGTAATAGTTTGAAATAGGGTCTTTTTGTAATAGTATTGAAAGAAGTTGGATTAAATTTCTGCTGATCATTCAGTGAAGAGGTCAATTGACCAATAAATTGATTTAGTCATCGCTGAGGCAGAAAAGATCAACTAATTAGTCATGATATTATACAATAACAAAGTTATGACTTCTTTATATTTTATTATTGACAAACTTGACCTTATCCTACTTATATTATAGCGTAAATAACACATAACCCCCATATAGTTACAAGCTTTTACAGATGATTCTCTTTTGTTTGTAATATCAGCACATTTCTTGTGGTTGATAGGACTAGTTTCCGTTAGTTTTTCCGTCAAACTAAACTGCATGTGTCAAATGTCAAAGTATTCCTTTTACTATTGACCCTCTTGTGCTAATTCGTTTTTCCTTTTATTTTTTTAGATAACCCCCTTGAAGTTTGACACACGCAGTTAAGTTTGAAAGAAAAACTTACATAAACTACCCTATAGACCACAAGGGGGTTATGTGCTGATATTACGAGTACAAAGGGTCATTTGATCTGCAAAAGCTTGTAGCTACAGCGGGTAACTGTTGTTTACCCTATATTATAACATTTCACATATTGTTTAATCACGCAATGTAAAAAAGATATATGAATTTTTCGGATAAACGTACGGTAGGTTAACCGAAGCAGGAAAACTAGTTGGAAATGGTGAAGATTGAGAAGGATTCTCAATGAATTAACTGCTACGAGGGTAAAACGAACGACCATTTCCACTGACAAGTTTTATTAACCAATATTGATATGCATATTAAATGGTGCAGTTAGCTGTCAAATATGTATCCTCAAAAACTATAATGGATGGTTGCACACTTTTTATAAACTCTTCTTAATAAAAACACAATTAATTATTATAAATGTAACAACTACTTGTCTACTTGACATTGTATTCCCTATAAATAGATACCATTTCAATGCTAATATTCTCATAACCTCACAACATCAAAATATTTATATAACTAGTCTTAACAGCAGTCAGAGTTATGAAGATGGCTCTTGTCTCCCTCGCAACAATATTTGTTGTTGCGTCTTTCGCTACATTTGCATATGCATCAGATCCCAGCCCTCTCCAAGATTTTTGCGTTGCAGTTAACGACACCAAGGCTTTTGGTAATTGACTCCTAAAATCCATTTAACTTTGTTTAACTATATTATTATCGCCTAACTACATTAACAATCATCAAAATATTACAACTTTTGACATTTTTTAATTTTTTTTTTCTGCATGCATGTACGTAGTTTTTGTGAATGGGAAGATCTGCAAGAACCCTAATATGGTTGTGGCCGAAGATTTCCTTTTTCGAGGACTAAACAAGCCTGGAAACACCTCAAATCCACTTGGATCCAGAGTCACTCCTGTCACTGTCAACCAATTACCTGGGCTCAATACTTTGGGCATTTCTGCTGTTCGTATAGACTACGCACCAAAAGGTCTAAATCCACCCCACACACACCCACGTGCGACTGAGATTCTTATTTTGTTAAAAGGCACTCTTTATGTTGGATTCGTCACTTCAAATCCAGCTGACCCTGCCTTGAAAAACAAGCTCTTCGCAACGTATTTGCACCCTGGGGACGTTTTCGTTTTTCCACAGGGTTTGATTCATTTCCAGTTTAATGTTGGAAAGACCAATGCTGTAGCATTTGCTGGTCTGAGCAGCCAAAATCCAGGTGTCATTACTATTGCTAATGCAGTGTTTGGTTCGGATCCTCCAATTGACCCAGTTGTCCTGACAAAGGCGTTCCAAGTTGAGAAGGATGTGATTGAGTATCTTCAAGCGCAATTCTGGTGGAACATCGATTAAACACACAAAGTTGATTATCGTAATAATCTTGTTGATAATATATAAATATATATATGACAAATTATTGTCTTAAATAAAGCTATAGTATTGGTTATGTACTGTGCACTTCATGTCTGAATAAATAACGGCTATAAGTATTTAATTATGTTTACTCGTTTATGATCGTTTTATCTTTATTCGATTGCAACTGGGCTAGAGTTTTACTTTACTTGGACACAGACCAAAACAAAAAAAAAAAAAGAATCATAAAATAAGTCAATATTTATAGACTTGAATTAATCTTTAAATTTAGAGATGACATAATATAGGTGAGAACCCAAAAACTAATACAAAATAATAACTAGATTGATAACCCCAAATAATCCAAAATCAAAGATAGATAATGCAAACTAAGTCAAAAATAATTGTTGAAAGAAAGCCTATTAGATATTTCCTGTATAGATTGAGAAAACAAAATAATGAAGAAAACAAAAAAAAAGAAAAAAAAGCACTCAATTTGTCATATTTATAAGCCTAGAGTACTCTTATAAATCAACGCAGGTGGTGTTTGCAAACGTTTTTCCAAAGTAATTATGTGTTTTTTTGGTTCAAAATATTTTTTTTAAAACATTAAAAAACTCATAATCACTTTGAAAAATCATTTGTAAACACCACCTTAACTCAATTTGCGTAAGTCAGGGGTTAAATTATGAATTGCGGGTACTTCAAAGGATTAGAGGTCATTTTGATATATAGGGTAGGGGTTTTTCCTAATTAGCAATAAATCGAAAAAGTTTACATTGAAATTTTCTAATGATGAAAATTGAAAAGGTGAAAAATCGAAACAAATTTATGAGTTGAATCGTAAATCGTCCTACCATGAATTTATTTGCATTTCATCTGATGGGGATCACATTAACTGCAGACTCGTATTACATAAGAGTGAATAAGGGCATTCATAAATAAAGAAATTTAATAGATAATAAGAAATTTTAAAAGCAATGTTAAAGTAACATAGGTCACATGCTGATAATGATACTTCTAATTCAAAATTTTCTTAGCCTCATTATCAAATTTATTTAAAGGGATGTGAATATTTTGCCGCATCACCAAAAACCAAAAACCAAAATGGAGTTGCCCATTTCTAAAATATTTTCTGCTCTTAGTTCTCAGCATCTCAGCCAATGCAAAACCAACAAATGTTGATGACAAGTTATTTTCAAATATTTGTTCAAAGACAAATGGCCCCTTACACATGCACAACGTATCTAAAAATTGTTCATATGGATGGAGTATCTTCCCTTGAGAGTGTAGGAGTAGCCTTTCTCGGCATTGCAATAAACAGAGCAAAAGAATCGACATATTTGTATAATCCTCTATGTTAAATATGATTATATAGCAAATCAACATTATATGAGGAAAAAATATGAAAAATGTATGTGGGCCATGGACAAGTTGAGTGAAGCAAAAGCAGTGTTGAAAGCTGAAAAGTTTGCACCGACAAGGGACAAGTTAGAAGCTCTATTGTGAGAATTTACCTAGAGCAAATGAGTCAAATTTTATTTTCGACGTTGCTTTGGCTCTTGTGAAAGAGTTGGAATGAGATAGAAAATCTACTACGGTCTTGCTTACATGAAAAGTAGAAAATATAATGTAAGTGTCTCAAATAAATGAATTGAATAAGATGTAAGCACTAATTTGTTGTTGAATTTACCGGAAAAAGAAAAGCTAATGCTAAGTTGGTTAGTGTTAATTTGTCCAAGTTCTTAATTAATTATATACTTATGTTCAACAGCTTATTTTGAAAATTCTAAGCCTCTAAACTTGTCTTCAAGAAATTTAGCATATCAACATAAAATATTTGAGGCCTATATTTATATTTACATTTGACATACCCCTCAAATTTTGATAATCTCATTTTACCCTTATTCTCTCAACTCTTTTTTTCCCCATATACTCTTTGTACATAACAAAAGATTTTGGTTCTGCGAATTTGACAAACAAGAAAAAATCGTAATATAAAAAATATAATTGAATTTTGATAAATTAGTAGACCTTTTCTTTTTGCCGCGCTCATTTCAATATCTTGATTGCAATATTACGTGTTAACGTGAGCCATCAATATTAGATATGGCCGAAAACATATATAACGATGTTTTATCGTTGTGCAACTTAAAGAGAACATAAAATCTTTGGAATGTTGACCAATTCATCGATGCTGACAGTTACAATACGAAAATAAATCTTCCTTTTCCATATATATTTTAGCTGACGCCTATGAGTGGTAGCATATTTCCTATATCTCGACGATCTCTAGCTCCCCCAAAGTTGGTTAATAAAATATTAAAACAATATATCAAACTTGACTATATTTGATCTTTGGTTTTACATACGTCGAGAACATATAAAGGTGTTTGGTAAATGGTAGGTTTTAACCAAAACATAAGACCCGGCATTGAATTGGAGTTATAATTTAAACCATGAATGAATATGTCAAATGATTAACATTAATTACACGCAAGAACAAAATGACCATTTCCATGGAAAAAAATAATCATGAAGTAGCTTTAGTTGTTAAACCTCTTTCAACATATACTTAGCAAGGTTGGAGTTTTTCAACTCTTAGTGAAATAATAGTAATTGTAAAAGAAGGGAGATGACTATTTCACATCAAATTCTCTATAAATAGGCACAATTTCTATGCAAACTTATAACCTCATAACACAAACTTATAAACAATACTTGTTATAAGCTAAAATGAAGATGGGTCTTGTCTCCCTCACAACATTGTTTGTTATTGCTTGTTTGGCTTCATTTGCATATGCATCAGATCCCAGCCCTCTCCAAGATTTTTGTGTTGCCGTTAAAGATGCCGATGCAGCTGGTAATTAATTTCAACATCTAACTAATTATATTTGTACATTATTTACCTTATATTAAATAATCATCTGACATTTTTTTTGCATGCATGTATAGTTTTTGTGAATGGGAAGATCTGCAAGGACCCTAACATGGTTGTGGCCGAAGATTTCTTTTTGTCGGGCTTAAACAAGCCTGGAAATACATCAAATCCAGTTGGATCACGAGTCACTCCTGCTAATGTCAACCAAATTGCAGGGCTCAACACTTTGGGCATATCTGCTGTTCGTATAGATTACGCACCAAACGGTTTGAACCCACCCCACACTCACCCACGTGCCACCGAGATTCTAGTTGTGTTAGAAGGCACTCTTTATGTTGGCTTTGTCACTTCAAATCCAGCTAACCCCGCCATTAAAAACAAGCTCTTCACAAAGTATTTGTACCCTGGGGACGTTTTCGTCTTTCCAGAGGGTTTAATACATTTCCAATTCAACGTGGGAAAAACCAAAGCTGTCGCTTTTGCTGCTTTAAGCAGCCAAAATCCAGGTGTCATTACTGTTGCAAATGCAGTGTTTGGTTCGGATCCACCAATTAATCGAGCAGTTCTAACAAAAGCGTTTCAAGTTGAGAAGAATGTGATTGACTATCTTCAGGCGCAGTTCTGGTGGAACATCGATTAAGTATGACAACCTCGTCATAAATCAACAATACTGTTTTCATGTGTTTTAAGTTATTATGTGTACCTCATTTGTTTGAATAAAACATTAGGATTACCTGAATAAGCTTACTATGATCCTTTCCTCTTGTACTATAAAGTGATATAGTTTTCATGTGCAACTGGTCGATCGGTCGTAAGTTAGTTTACACCTTTGTACTGCAATAAAAATGTACTCCACTTCGTGATTTTGAAATTTTCTCTCGTGATATCTACTTCGTTATGAATTTTTACTTGTTCATATCGAACAAGAAGGCACCCTTAATACATGTACTCATTGTAACAATTGAATCCCATTGGATGTACTAGAAATTCAATTGAATCATAAATAATGTATTACTACTGAAATATATATATATATATATATATATATATATATTTGGAAAGTTATAGTTTTGGTCCTCTATGTTGGCTTATTTAGGAATTTAGTCCTCTAACTTGTCATGTTTCAGTTTTGCATGCAATAACTTTGCAAATATAATGTTTTTAGTCCTATTTTTGCATAATTTTTAATTTTATGACGCGACAAATAAACTTGACGCATTTTACTTATATGGACGCTTGGAAATCGATAAATTCGACATCTAATTTACCACTGGTAGAACTTTAACTATGTGAGACGACACATCTAAATATCAAATTAGAGGAGCATTTATAATTTTAAGTGTCCATATAAATAAATTTATGCAAGTTTGTTAGGTACATCATGAAGCGACGGCTAAAACTCAAAGTTCGAGTGAAATATGACTAAAAATACTAATTTTACATAATTATTATATGTAAAATTTAAATAAGATAACTTATAGACTAAATCCCCAAGAGACCAATTTATAGTACCAAAATTACAATTTTCCATATATATATATATATATGGTATACCCACAACGAAAAACAACATTTATTTCAGAAGAATTTAGTAATTTTAATGCAGTACTACTTAAGAAGGCATATATTAATTATTAATCATCTACTTAATTATTCCCAATCCAGGGCAATGACTGGAGATAGCGAACCACATCGACATCGAGCTGGAACCCTTTAGCGAGAGTGTCCGGTTCAACCGGCGGATCCGATCCAAACACGGCCTTAGATACCGTAACCACCCCCGGGTTTTGGCTATTAAAACCGACCAACGCAACCGCACTCGATTTCCCGATATTATACTGGAAATGAATTAGCCCTTTCGGGAACACGAAAACATCCCCCGGTTTCAATATCTTCGCAAACAGCCTGTTTTTGTCGGTCGGGTTCGAAGGGTTCGAAGTTACGAAGCCAGCGTAGAGAGTGCCTTTTAAGACGACGAGAATCTCGGAGGCGCGCGGGTGTAAGTGCGGCGGATTCACCCCGCCCGGCGCGAAGTCGATCCGGGCGGTTGCGACGCCGAGGGTGTTGACCCCGGGGAGCTGGTTGATGAAGACCATGGTGACTTTTGTCCCGAACGGGCTGGTTATATTCCCGGGCCGGTTCAGACGGCCCGAATGGAAGAAATCGTCTGCTGTCACTGTTTCCGGATCCTTGCAGATCTTTCCATTCACAAATACTGCACCGGATTTAATATAAATAAATTAAATACAAAATTATGAAGTAATTAAATAATCCTAATACAGTTAAACCTCTATAAATTGATACAAGCAGGACTAGGAAAATTCTATTAATTTAGCGAATTATTAATTTATCGAGTTAATAATTTAACACATTCTCACCGAATTGGAACCAAAACAAACTATTATTTAAGCGAGATTATTAATTTATCGAATATTAATTAATTTATGTTCTACTGTAGTTTAATTAATTATTACCAGCAGCGTCGGAGTCGTTGACAGCGACACAGAAATCTTGTAGTGGGTCTGGATCGTAGGCATCTGCATGTAAGTAAAAGACAGCAGCAGCCACATTAATTGCGATGAATAACATTAATTTATTGTCCCACATTTTTCGTGTAATAAAAGAAAAATTAAATGGAAAATCTATTTTATCTTTGCTGTTTTGATCAGAGGTTTGCTAATAATAATATATTTATAGTTGAAATTCAAGAACAGATGATCATCATAATAGATATCTATATTATCCAATAGACATCATGTTGTTACTTGTAAGGAAATTAATGTGGTTATATTTGTTGTTATTTTATGTAATAAAAAACATCCCAAAATTAACTTAACTTCAAAAATTGAAATACTGAGCATCTAACAACCAAAACGTACCCTTTTTCACATTCCCAAATATTTTAAAACTAGGGGAGTGCTCGGGAATTGGGGATACGAACGGTCTATGAGATGATACACCTGGTCGAAAGCACCGGGTGATTTTGCACTATAAATCTGTATAAAAATAAGCAGTCACTAAACATAAATACAAATGGGTTTGTGTGTTATTATGTGTAGATCATAAATTGTGCAGATTCACCTGGTGTATTTCACAGGTTGTCGGGGGCGGACCCTGGGACTTTTAGGGCAAAATATGGGAGTGAATAAAGAGAAGGAAAAAAATATTTTTTGAGGAGCTAAAAGTGTACAAATTTTAAATCTTGGGGGGGAAACACTACAAAAAAAAAACTTTTTAGTGACAACGCCTATTTTTCACATAGGCAAAAAGTGTTGTCACTGTGCTTGTCACTAATGGGGTGTCGCTAATGCTCTACAGTGACAATAAATATGGATTAAGTGACAACAAAAAGAGCTATTAGTGACAATAAAAAAAATATTGTCACTTGTATGCATTAAGTGACAATTTTTGTATTTGTCATAATTGGGGTGTCGCTAATGCAACTTTTTCTTATAGTGAAAGTCTATAAATAAATAGATAAATACCAAAATGCAATAAAAAAACGTAATAGAAAATAGGTGATAATTTTTTTTGTGCAGGGACCCTAGACCACACGTGGTTCCGCCCCTGCCGGTTGTAGCATCTACAAAACTGGATATGAACTATGGAATTCGGTATTTTTTGGATGGGGATTCAGAATTTGTGATTCATATTTTAATATAACTGAAATTGTTTCTCGAAAATATTTGGAATTAACACCAAACACAAGTTTTGAACAAATCATGCGTGTTTAATTACCCGGATGATACAGTAATTGGAATATAATACATAAATAGTTAAATTATGGTTTAATTTGACTACGCTACGTCTTACTTTCTGAAATTGCACTCCCCAAAAATAACGAAGATATATAGTAAGATCATTTATTTTTGTTGTGTAGCAAGAAATGGTAATAAGGTTTTATGAAGTCTTTGATGATTATGAATTTATGAATACTTAAAGGAGTTTATAGTAATTAAACTTTAGTTCAAGATTATCATTTTTTTCACTTCACCTTATATATATAGGAGAGAGAGGTTATTTTCATTATATTTATATACAAATTTATTCAAAAAATATATTTTCAAATACACCACATAACTACAAGAAACCACATCAACGGTCAAAAATCATCGGTTTTCCTATAACCATGCAGCATGCAGAACGCGGAATAGTTCATCGCTATATTTAGATATTCACACGTAAATAATGACGTGCATTGAAACAGAAGAGAGAGAAAGAGAGAGATAGAGATAGACAGATAGAGAGAGAGAGAGAGAGAGAGGAGGAGGAGGAGGAGGAAAACAAGAAGGGGGTGAGAGAGTTGGTGGTGGGAGAAGAGGAAAGAGAGAGCAATTTTTCTTGACCCTTTTCGCCTTCAATATTATTAATTAAAAAATAATAATAAATCTTCTTTTTGTGTTTTTCTCTTTTTTTCTTTCCTTTCTCGTCTCTCGAATATGACAGACAGAGAGAATGTAGCACTGCCAAAATTCGGATCGTGGGACGTGAATAATCCAGCTGCAGCAGGAAAGTATTCGATGATCTTCGATCGGGCAATGAACGAGAAACGATCCAACGGCCAGCGTGACTCACCAAGATCGAGCAATGATAATATGTCGGTGACCAAACACGAAGACCATTCTTCTAGAAAACCGTCGACCAGCAGGAGGTGGCTTTGCTGCTCCAATCTCAAGTATGCAGAATCATAAGAAAGTATTATTTATTATTTATTCTAATAATTATATCGTAAAACGAGTTTAATCTCCAAGGGACATTTTTATTTTTATTTTTTTAAATTTTTTTTCGAGAAAAAATATCATTAAAATATATCATATTTTGATGCTCGTTCGAGTTTTACCCCTGAAACGTTTTTTCTTCTTCCTTTTTTTTATTATTTTTTTTTATTGATGAGATACTAATAAGGATTTTTATTTTGAATTATTAGAACGTCACCATTTGTTACCATGTGATAATTTCTTGGTGTTTTTAAGACTTTGCCGATCAATCGGTACATTTTTTTAGTGCATATGATGATGTATACGGTTTTATATATGCTACACTAGGTGAAGTATATCGAGTAGATCTTTGTCATTCACATACACACAAACACACACACACACCCAAATTGGTGTGTGTAGAAAATATTACCCGATGTAACCTTCATCGGGTGCAGCATACAAATAATCTGACGTATATGATCATTGAGAAATCAATCACAGGGATTGAAAAATTACCTTATTGCCTAGAGAGAGAAACAATTACTAGTCAATACAATAATGAAAGCTCACTAGGTTACAGCTAAAGTTTGAACTTCTGGACTCAAATTAAGGAAACCCGAGACTAACAGTCGATTGTGTTCGAAAAAACAAAGGCGAACGCCAATATTTTGTGTTATCTCCTTGACACCTGTCAAATTGGGAAGAGTTTCCAAGGATGAGGAGAAAACGATAAAAAAATAGAAGGCGTATCAATGGCATATTACTAAGATAAAAACAGCAGTGCGGTACTAAGGTAGTGTTACTGGTAAGTGAATCAAAATTGTTGCCATTCTTGATCTGAACATCAATCGGAGGGGTATTATCGACTTTTTCTTTTTAGGACCAATCAATAATCATTGCCAATTAACCGAAGTAATAATCCTAGCTCTCAAAAATAGTATATTTGGCAGATAAAAGTTGCAATAAAGTCCAGAGGATCGAGTCAAAAAAAAAAAGGGCATACCAGTTCTAGTTCGGGTCAGAAATTTTCTCCAGACAATTCACAGCTTGTTCGATTGCGTGGAGCGCCATTTTCTTTACCTTTAGACAACGTTCAAGATTTCAAAAAATTCAGACAACTAAGAAAACTATTTTTACATCGTCATATATATGGATGCAGCACAAGCATGTATCAGGCATTTAAAGGTTTGTCAAAATCGGTACGTTTTTATTTTATACTTCGAGATGAAAATCCACGTGTTATATACATAATTGCGTGGATCTTACATGGCAAAGATGTAATACAAGTCATTTCTTTTTTGTCCAAGTCTCAAAAATACAACCTAGTGAAAAGACTGAGAATGAAAACTCATTTGAAAGTTAAGTACGAACCAGTAGATGGAATATACCGAATGGCTTAAGATATTATTACACACGGAAAGAAAAAAAAAAAAGAAAAGAAGATGAAAGTATACCTCTAACTTGTCTTCCTTAGCCCTATGATTTTGTGGAAGAACACGGAATTCCTTAGTCAACCGAAGACACTCTTTGACGTTTTCTGGTGATACAAAGTCAACGGCCACCTTTATGCAAGACTGAAAGAAACAATTAAAAGAAAATGAGTACTAATTAAAAAAAAATCCACAAGTCAGCAAGTAAAAGTACATGAGTTCTTCGTATGATTAAAAAAGAACAGTTGTAAAACAAACGAAGTGTACCTTTAAATTTCTAACTTGATGTGGACAGCCAGCAGGTATAATAACAGCATCACCTAATTTCTGGACAAATGTCCATGGTTCGATTCCTATATATTCGGCCACAAAAAAAAACATAAGCCGGATTAGTTAAACTGCAGTTTATTATCGACCAATCATGCAAAGTAGATACATCGAGACACGAAAGACTAACCATACTCCTCCTTAAGTATCCTTTTATGCTCCATAGTCAAGTAAACCGTTTGATCATGAATTGGGTGAATAACCTAAACAAAAAAGAATTGTTAAATGCAGGTGATTAAAGGCCATATACACTAGATTTTAAAAATATATGTATAATAAATAAATGAAAAAATTAATAAAAAGATGCACAACACGAAATGATTCAGATGCTAGGATCTTACTCTAAGCTGTTTTTGACTCGTTAGGTTATCAAGCAGACATAATACATTCTTTTACATTAATCTCGGAACCTAGTACTCTGACCAAATTAACCCTTACCTGAGACAACGGATTACCGTAGATATGTCTGAATTCATGAAAGTGCTTCCTCACGTATTCCTCCAATTTCGGTACATCTTCCCTCCTAAAAATATCCCATAGAGCACCACCTTCAGGGCTAGATACTAAAGCACTACTGTTTAATAGATTAAACTCGGATATTTCATTTTCACTGATTTGTTGCTTTCCGTCATTTCCATTTAATATCTGTTTATTATTGCCACGCAATTCCCTCTCATCCTGTTCAGCATGCTTCTTTTGCCGTTTTTCAATGGCCACAAGCTGCTCGGGCTCGAGTGTCACTGCATGTGCATGTACCAACACATTCACCTAAACAACAACAAAACTATTAACAAAAACGAAAAAAAAAAAAAAAAAAATCGAGTAGCAAAATATCGTAAGTGTAGAGAAGAGGCATACTGCATCAGACATGTCACAGTGTAATTTTGTTACGGAATCGCCCCTTCCTAATTCTTGTGAAACTCCATAAGCAATATACGTCTTTGGACCCATATCTGGCTTCAGAGACTTGTCGGTCAGTTTAGTGGCGAGATTTAAGTAACCACAGTTAGGGTCAGTGTAGTCTTTGAATGGCAAGCATCTGATAAACTCAGCATCGTGTCGAGGTAACCTCTCTTTGAACAAGTTAGAAGGAGGCCAGTCTTTCAACTTGAGAATCTGAGGCCAAGAATAACTGTCGAATCGACCCTCTGAATAACCTTTGAAAAACTTGCAGGCATTTATATCAACCTGTTTATTTTTATTTTTTTTAAAAGGACCGATGAGTTTTGCATCATTGACATCCGAAACATCGCATTTGAGGAATAAAAGAAAAAAACATCCAATAAACTGTTATGTAACCACAAGCACTAAAGGAAAATATTTCAACGTGCGCATATGAGGAATGGTTAAACGCGATAAAATGGACAACCCTGGAATCAACCGCATAGGCAAATGGTTTTCATGACAGCATAAATAGTCGAGCTAAAATAAATTTACTAGACTAGTATTGCTATTTACTGCATACATCTCTTGTTATCTATAAGTGCTGTACCCACTCCAATACTCTAGAGGGGGAAACGTCGCCTTCTTGAAAATCAAGAAACGGAAGATTCCAATGTGGAAATAAAAGAAAAATAGAAAGATTAAATTAAGAAGCCCATGTTTCTTTGTCATTTTTTTTCTTCAAACAGGCCTAGCAGTACCAATGCATCAAATTAGCAAAAGATATAAGATTCATCCGAGTGTATTCTTGTCCAAAGAAAATCCAAAATGGCAGATCCCTCAAAATTACACAGTTTCGATAACAAACTCAGGACTCAACACATCAGAAATATAACTACCTAATTCAAACCCGATAAGAAGTAATGATTTTCTAACAAGCCGTATCACCCAACAAATAAGCACGCTTGCCATATAGTGTGCCACAGTTGGAATCCAGGAAAGTTTAAAATTAGGTTTATCACTATCCTAAACGCACCTTCGACGTCAAAGAAAAGACAGAGAGAAGAGAATGGCAAAGGAAGAAAATGACGTGCAAATATAACTGGATCCGCAAATAACAGTTCAGCGAGATATATCTAACTTTCACAGTAGCAATTAGTCTAGAAACAATGACGTGCAAGTTGACATATTATTTAGCTATCCCAACGGTGCATATTATTTCAAAAAGAACCTTCAATTATGCATGTCAAATTGCAGTAGTTAAACTGTTCAAGCATCATATGCAACATAAAAGACTTCACATTTTTTCCCGTTCGACAAAATTAAAAAAGGAAAAAAAATTGACAAAAAATAGAATCAAGTTGCTGACCTCACACCAGTCCAAGCAATTTATCGCAGTCACATCAACTAAAACTTCGCTTCCTTTCTTTCTTTTCTGCCGAAATGCACGCCACATAACCATGGGCTCCCAGCTCAAACCCAACGTAGTTTCAAGCACATCACTCACAATCACAGGCTCGCCTTTCGACCAGTGCCACTGAAAATGCTTCATCTCTTCATTTTGAATCTCTTTAGCTTTCGGACAGTACAAAAAATTGTCCCTCGAATCTTTCCTCGAAGCCGCTTTCCTAAATTTATCGCACTTCAAGCACGAGCCCTCCTCATAATTTTCAGACAAGCTCTCAAAATTCCGTGCTCTTGATAACAAATTCGAGACCCAATTCTCCGAAAAAATGCACTTTAATTCAAGAATACCTTCACCACAACCCCCTAAAAGCTGTGGTGGGCATGGAATTATACCTCTTTCTGTAGCCCTCCATTCAGATTTTACAACTTCAACTTCTTCAGAAGAAGGTTCGTTTTTTATTGGGGTAGCATTTTTACTTTCTTCGGCGATTTTATAACTGTCGTTGTGCAAGTAACTTAGGTCGCGGCGTATGTATTCAACGATCACTTCTTTGTCACCGCCACGTAAGCGTCCCTCGCAAAGCTCGTGACAACAAGTGATGCAGAGATCATAGGAACACCTTGGGCAGCTTCGGTGAAAATCGACAATGGACGTTTTACAGTTGTCACTGCACAAATGCATAGAGTAATGACTCTTTTTTTGCAACTTGAGAGAACTCTTTATTGGGGAAAAAAGAAGAAAAAAAACAGAGTCATGGTGAGATCTATCTACCAGTATATTCGTTCGACCGAGTCGCAATTTGATTTCTGTGGCTTTATTTCTGAAATTGGTAATCCTGTTCGGAGCGAACTAAAGTCAAATATTATGAAAACTAGGTAGCTAATAACTTGTCTTTACTTCATAATTTCATTATTTAACAAGTAAGTATTCGAATGTATACTTAAGGAATCTCAAATGAATATACACAGTTAACACTACATAAATAATTCATTTTTTTTTTATGACTTTCGGAATATTTTGCTCACAAATCTTGGGTGTAGGAGTTCAAAATAAAAGCCTGTGACTTGTCAATTAATTACGTGACATGTTAGCATCACATACATAACCGTCCAAGGTATCTCAGTCCCTGCAAGAGAAATACCTTGTATATTAGCCTCAATTTCCTTCTCGGCCAATTGTTCTTCATGGAATTGTTTTAAGAAGGGCAGAAGCATTCGCAGCATATATTTAGAGTGCTCCATCTTTACTTTGTCAGCATACTCCAATTCTAACTTCAAATGCTGCATGCATAATACAAAAACATATACAATCTGAAGAATCAAACACTTGAGCTAAAGGGAAGGGCAAGAAAGACAATTTGCTACCAAAAGGAAAATAAAAGCAAGTGCAGATTAAATTAAAACGAACCCTGATTGGGCCATCCAGTTGCAAGCAACTCTTGCAATTGCAATTGTTACGACAAACGGGGCAAGCTTCAACAAAAGCATCTTCCGGCATTTGAGGATACCTGGGAACAAGTCTCTTTTCAGACACTGATGGAGTTGAACATACGTTTATATGTATATATAAAGAAAACATTATGAGATAGTGTTGATGTTGCATCTCTATAGCAGATTGAGAAATCTTTAACCAAAACTCGCTTACAGTAGACAAAAATATTATATAGCACAAACGCAGAAAAAACAGAAAATAGACAGATAAACTCGAAATAGTTCTACATTGTGAAATTGGTTGCATGGCCAACTCTTTATTAGAATATTATTCATTCAATCCAGACCACAACATGCCTGTGAGTAATCTTGTACAACAATGTAAAACATTTTAATAAATACAAACTGCATGAGACTGACTTGTTTCAGAGCTCATATTCAGTTACTTTAGCCACTTAACCACCGATCAAAAATGAAGCATTGATCGAATAATAGAATTCATAACATAATAAGGTACAATTTCCGATCAAACTCAATAAAAATTGATTCCGTAAAATAAATAAAAATCACATACCATCTAGTCATGCAAGGGACACAAAATCTCTTACTATCACACTTGGTACAGCGTACAACTCTTCCTTTATCGTTCCTCTTGCACTGGTGACACGTGTTACGCTCCTCCTTCCCCTGCTAAATCCACTAATTAGCCACATAACTCAAAAAAAAAAAAACTTACACGACAGTAAAACAAAGAAACTCGAAACTCACTGCACTATCCGATTTATCCACATTAGCTTTGCGGGAAAATCTTCCTCTTCCTCCACTTTGCCCAATCCCCCCTTCATTATTGTCCCTTTCAACTTGCTCCTCCACCGCATCTTTCTTCGGTTTTCTCCCCCTTCTTTTCGGGATCTCCACTAACCAAGTTTTCACTTCCTCCACACTCTCATCACCAGCTTCCATACTAGTTCTACACGAATATCTTCCTCCTCCAGTTTTCTCAATCGCCCCTTCATTCTTGTCCCTTTCAACTTGCTCCCCCACTGCATCTTTCCTCGGTTTTCTCCCCCTTCTTTTCGGAATCTCCGCTAACCCAGTTTTCAATTCCTCCACACTCTCATCACAAGTATCCTCATTTTCTACCCCCTTCCTCTTTCTCCACGGACCCCTTTTCGGCCTCTCCCATTCGTAAACTTCTTCATTCAATTTCCCAATTTTCTCCTTTGCCAACTGAAGTGACTTCCTCTTCGACGCTCTCTTCATAAAATCCCCATTCTTCACATCATTCTCCGTCGCCTCTTCTTTCTTATCAAGCTCCATCTCTCTATCTTCACTTTCGCCGCTCTCTTTCTCTTCAGGGACTTTCGTCGAACACTCGGTGTGCTCTTTCAATGCAATGATTTCCTCCTCCTTTACACACAAACTTTCATTTTCCTCGGCCGGGAAATTCAAATCCATATGGGGATCAATTCTTACAGAAACCCCTCTATCCAAAAGCACTATTTTTCCACTCTGTTTCTTAGGTGTTCTTTCTCGGCACACTCGTGCGGCTTTTTCTCGCATCAATTTCAATAAATCAGCGGTCTTTAATTTGGTTTTTGAAACTTTAGCAGACTGTTATGACTGATGCCCTTGATTTCAGTTGGCCAATTACAATTTGCTTTAATCTTTATATTTTTAGTAAAGTTTCAGTCTGTAATATTCAATTCAATCGTACACGTGTGTATATAGCAACTTTAGTTTGGAGATATATCCCAAACATTCTTCATTTGATAAATCGTTTATTTATAAATGATATTTGCGATAGGGCATATTACAAATAAGCCCATCAGTGGGAACTTATTCATAAAGAGATCCAGACAATATTCTCCTTTACCAATAAGTCCACACATGGTCCAGATTTATGTAAAGGACTAAAATAACCCCTCTTACTTTAATATGCTCCAATTTCATCCTTAACTTACTTTAACTTCAATTTGACCCCAACTTTCACAAATTATTCAATTTTGACCCAAAACTTTTTTTTTTCACAAATTTTTTTTTTTCAAAAACTTTTTTTTCCCGCCGGATTCCGGCGTTGACTTTTTTTTTTTTTTTTTTTTTTTTTTTTTTTTTCCTTCCGGATTTTTTTTCCGGATTCCGGCGTTGACCGGCGGTCAACGCCGGTCTCCGGCGTTGACTTTTTAATTTTATTTTTTTTTTTTTTTTTTTCTTCCGGATTTTTTTTTCCGGATTCCGGCGGTCAACGCCGGTCTCCGGCGTTGACTTTTTAATTTTTTTTTTTTTTTTTTTTTTTTTTTTCTGTAACTTTTTTTTCCGTTTAAACAGCAATATTGCTGTGAATGACAGTAATATTAACTATATTACTGTTAAACACAGTAAAATTAACTAAACTATAGTTTAACACATTGATATTGCTATATTAATCTCTAGCACATTAATATTAACACAACAAAATTCATTATTATTGTATAATAAAGTAATATTACTATGTTGTCCGTTCAACAAATGTAAACAAAATAAAAAAAACCAAAAGAATTAATATTACTGTGAGTGACAGTAATATTACTATAGCAACAGTAATATTACAATAGTAGACAGTAATATTATTACGTTACTTCGTGAATAACTCGAACAAAACAAACACCCCAAAAAAATAATAATATTGATGTTGTTGACAGTAATATTATTGTGTTTACAGTTATTTTACTGTCAACGACAGTAATATAATTACGTTGACTGTCAACAAATCAAAAAAAATAAAAAAAAATAATAATAAATAAAAAAATATAATATTGCATTAATTTACTGTCAACGGCAGCACAATTACATAAATGTAATGTCAACGGCAGTACAATTACGTTAATTAACTATCATTGACAGTATAATTACGCTAAATTACTGTCAGTGACAGCACAATTACGGTCAACGTGTAGCGGCGGGCGTGGAAAAACAAAACAAACCAAACAAAAAAAAAAAACTTAAAAAAACACTAAAGAAAGAGACCGCCGGAAACCGGCGAAAAAATCCGGAAGAAAAGAAACGAACAAAAAAAAAGAAAAAAGAAAAAAAAGGAAAGTTCACAATCCGAAACATCAGTCACGTTGACCGCCGGTCAACGCCGGAATCCGGAAAAAAAATCCGGAAGAAAAAAAAAAAAAAAAAAAAAGTTTAAAAAGTCAACGCCGGAGACCGGCGTTGACCGCCGGTCAACGCCGGAATCTGGCGGCAAAAAAAAGTTTTTGAAAAAAAAAATTTTTTTGAAAAAAAAAAAATTTTTGGGTCAAAATTTAATAATTTGTGAAATTTGGGGTCAAATTGAGATTAAATTAAGTTAAGGATGAAATTGGAGCATATTAAATTATACTCCAAAAAAAAGTCAAAATTGAATTTTTGTGGTCAAAATTGAACTTTTATGGACAAAATTGATTAATTTGGATTACAATTAAGAATTGGGTATAAATGATTGAGGGTAATATTGGGATATACATGAATGTTTCCTTTAGTTATAATAAATATTAAAGGGATGGGCTTATTGGTGAAAGAGATATGTCCCCTATACCTAGAATAATAAACATGCTTGGTTGGGGACTTTTGCATAAAAATCCCTTTGCGATAAATCTACTAAATCCGAAAAATCATATATTAAAAAAAAAATATTCATAATCTACACCCAAATCTTCTCCTAAATTATTCCCCTCATCACGCCAATTCGGTCTTTTTTTTCCTTTTCTTTTTTATTTTGTTTAATAGTTTTCTTTATTTCGATTTAAAAGAAAATTTTGTAATTATTTTATTATTATTTTTTTTTCAGTTTTTTATTTTAATTTTACTTTTTTCTTATTTATATTTTTCATGTTTTTTTATTTTAATTTAAAAAAATAATTTTATTTTTATTTTCGTTTTTTGTGGTTTTTCTTTTTTCTTAATTTCAATTTTTTAAATGATTTTTTTTTTTTCTATCCAGTTTTTTAAATAAAAACCACTCTATATAAACATGAAAACCACTATGTATAAACAACTATATAAACACGAAAACTACTATGTATAACAACTATGTAACATGAAAACAACTCTGTATAACGACTATGTAAACTTGAAAACCACTATGCATAACAACTATGTCAACATAAAAAACCACTATGTATATAAAATTATATATAAATATGTACAAAATTTAATGAAAACCACTATAAAATTGTTGAAAATCACCATAAATTTATCAAAGACAAAGTCTGACATTATAAAAACCACTCCGTATAAACAACTATATAAACATGAAAACCACTATGTATAAAACAACTATATAAACATGAAAACCACTTTATGTACACAACTATATAAACATCGAAAATCACTATGAATTCTAACAAGAACACATCAAAATTTCTGCGAAAAAGAAGATATAAAACTACTATAAAGGACACTCCGTATATTTTACGATTATTGCTCGTACAATCATCATTCTTGATGGCGCATTGTTGCTGATGTATCGAAAGAATTTTGCAGTAGCCGTCCACGAGCTGTGGTAATAAAACACATCAGACCAAGTTCAACTTCACACACATATACAGGAAATGAAAAATCGAAAATAAAAAATCTTATAAGTTAATTACGCCATTGGAAAGGCTCTCATTCTGAATCCAAGAAAATAGGTTCAAATCACACAACAAAAAAAGAAGCCACACAACATTTGTATCAACTGCACATAATTCATAACCACAGGACATTTTCAAAACCACATAATTCGAAACCACATAATTAAATTAGGCATAAATCACAACACCATACTTGAAAACCCAAATAAAGAGATACAACACAGACCATTAAGTGGTTTCAAATAACAACACAAACAAAATAACTTGGTTATAATATGTGCAGACTTTAGAGATATGTAATTCAGAACCACCTATAACTTTTTTTTTTTCAGTTTCAAATAGCCAACACCCACATAACCTACTTAGCATAGTAACAATAATGAAAACCACTTAAGATAATACCACTAAACATAATCGGGACATGTTCATAATTAACACATCGTAACTAGAAATTGACGACGACGACGAATCAGATCAAAACAACTCTCCGGATTTCGAACTCGAAGATTCTCTGAAGAAGTTCTCAATTGCGACCAAGACGACGCCGTCAGAAGCAACATTCATGCTGAGGTGGAGGAGGCGTTGGCAGAAGTTGCCGGTGGCGACAATTATTCGTCGCCGGATTTTAAACGGCGGCTGATGGCTCGGTTGCGCAGTGGTGGCTTGGACGCCGGTGAGCTTCTTTCTTAATTAGTTATGATATCCAATTTTTTGATTAAAATATATATTAAACCTAAATTCTTAAAAAAGATCTGAGGAAAAAGAAATCAGGAGAAGAGGGCCGAGATCTGGAGAAGATATCGGGAGAAGAGAGGCGGCTACTGTTAAAAGAAGAGAGAGAAAAGAAATCTGAGGAAATTTTTTTTGATTGGTTATGGGATCTCTCACCCTCGGCAAAGAGGGTCGAGATTTTTTGATTGGTTACGGGATTCCTCACCCTCGGTGAAGAGGGCCAAGATTTGGAGAAGAGATCGGGAGAAGAGAGGCGGCTATTGTTAAAAGAAGAGAGATAAAAGAACTCTGGAGAAAAAGAGAAAATAATAACAACGTGAGCTATAGTGAGCTATAGGGTTAGGTAAAGGGTATAATAGTGAATTAAATTGTTTATAATTAATTAAATTATAATATTTTGGATTTATCATAAAAAAAGGAAAAAAAAAAAAAAAAAGAAGACCTCTCTTAATTGGACAATGCATATAAGAGGTGTTTGTGAAATAATCCCTTTTAGTTTTTAATATATTTTTTATCAATAAAAAATGTATACATGCAATGCACGTTTTACAAATATATTCTTATTTATATATGATATAATTTTGCGGCTCATCACCTTGCTAAGTTGGCTTGTATTTCAAATTGGGAGGTAATCTTTTCCCCTAATTGCATTTCGGTTGTTTGTTTTTGTGACCCGGTTATCTGCTTATAAATTTGTTCTCTTAATTGTTCTGTTAATAGAAGAAAAAGGTTGTACTTATTTGCAATCTCAAAATTTCTAAGAGCGATATCTCATTTGATGTAAGACCAAAATATAAATAAATTTATTAAGAACAAGACTGAAGATTACAAATATAACCTTAATATTGATTTTGATATTATTCATTCAAATTAGACTTAATTACCTATTGCAAGACCAAAAAAAGAAGAAAAAAATGAAATTGGAAAACGAGAGGGAATGCTCTAGCGGAAGAAAAGAAGAACACAAGGCGAAAAGAATTGCCGACGCCCAACTGCGGGTGCTTGAAAAGGAAGAGAAGAAGAAGATGGAAGAAGAAGAAGAAGAAGAAGAAGAAGAAGAAGAAGAAGAAGAAGAAGAAGAAGAAGAAGAAGAAGAAGAAGAAGAAGAAGAAGAAGAAGAAGAAGAAGAAGAAGAAGAAGAAGAAGAAGAAGAAGAAGAAGAAGAAGAAGAAGAAGAAGAAGAAATTTTGATTTGTACATGTTGAATTTTTCGGTGAAAAATCCACATTTAGATGTCGATTTTTTGTCAAAAAATCTGAATGTTGAGTTTTTTGGTGAAAAATCGACATTTAGATGTTGATTTTTGTCATCAAAATCAACATGTAAATGTCGATTTTTGTCACAAGAATCGACATCTAGAGTTGATGTCGATTTTTTGATAAAAAAATCAACATCTAAATGTCAAATTTTGTCTGCGCGAATTTTCTTTTTG